GAGAGTAGTGTGTAGTAGTAGTAGTATTATACTACACACACACACACACATATATATATATATATATATATATATATATATATATATATAAATACCCCAATATTGTGGAGCGCATAAATACATCAAGCAATCTCTCAAAGGGATTGTTGATAATTCTTGTTAGGAAGTGAGGTCTGATTTTAGGTATACAAGGCAATCATTGTCTGGAGTAGTTCATAATGGTGCGAGTAGGGATGTACGATAAGTGGAGATATGCAGTGTGTTCACTATAGGAACGATCCATTTTATGCCCTAGATATATTCTAAATAAAGCCTGGCATCCTTATATCCATTTTATACCACATATATATTCTAATAAAAGCTGGCATCCTTATAAGTGATGTTTGCGTACCATCTGTATTGAAGGTTTCGTGGTTGGATGATTGTTCACCAATCCGCCAGCAGCGCTTGGTCTACCACCCACTGCGTACTAATTGGGGCCAAAAACAAGTTTTTGAATCGAGTCATCAATTCCGTTCTTTCTCATAAATGAAACGGGTTTTTGAATCGATGCTTCAATCCCGTACTTTCTCGTTGATGGAATGAGTTTTTGAATTGAGTCTTCAATCCTGTTCTTTCTCGTGAACGGAACGGGTTTTTGGATCGATGCTTCATCCACATCCTTTCTCATCAATTCCAAATATTCAGAGTATGTTTACCCGCGTGCCCTAAATATGGCTAAAACGGGGGTCTAAATCGGGTTTTCAATCACGCCATGTCTCATTAATTCAAACTACTCGGCGGTTGTCCACTTGTGTAGTGCACAATGCATACACTTACACCATGACTAACACCATCATGAAACGCTTTATATCATCAGCCAGCACAGCCCCACACGAGCATGCAGTGATAGTTACACTTGCATGTGCATGTGCAGTCTAGTTAGGTGGCTGGGGTGTGCGTGTTAGTCTCTCTGTTGTACTTGTTGTAGTACTTGCCACACGTGCATGTGCACAACTCTCTTGTGTTATGTTTACTCATTATAGTATTCGCTATATAACATTTACCTTCTATTCATACTTGTCACACATATGCAGTCTAGTTAGGTGGCTGGGGTGTACGTGTTAGTCTCTCTGTTGTACTTGTTGTAGTATTTGTCCTCCGGGCGACAGTACGTTGTCGGTTCGTGGACTAACGACTCGCCTGCGAACACGGCTGTGGTGCGTGGCTGTATTGAGCGAAGTTAGAGTGGTTGGTTTAGTTGTGTGCTCACGCTCAGACACCTGGAGAGAGAGATTGAAGCATTCTCCTAACTGTATAGCCACGAGAAGTTATAGAAAAGGGAGGGCGGGGTGTTATTGAGAAAATGACTACTGTGAGTGTATGGGTTGACTAAGCTTCTGAGGTACAACGTACTAGACACAGGCGCATACGTATACACTATAGTGTAACGAAGATGGAGATATGCAGACAACGCACGGAATAGCAAATAAAGCCAATGCCGAGAATGTTCGTTTGGTGTATAGAGCAAAGAATTCCAATTGCACACACACACAC